ATGATGATGATGATGATGATGATGATGATGATGATGATGATGATGATACTTGAAGACTGAAATTGACAACATAGCCCACTCGGCGCCGCTGCTTACTTTCATGAACAAGGCTGTGGTCAAAACATGTCAAAACCCTCGCATACAAAACAAAAGAGCTTGTCCGCTCAAGGCATGCAAAGGACTCAACGGAAGTTTCTGTCTTGGTGAGGTCCACTCAAAGTAGCCACCACCTGGATGTCCTTCTGATGGTTTCATTGCCATGCCCGCAACTTTTCTGTGACATCTGGTTTCATGTGCAAACGCAATGTCACTACACTTTAAAGAAGTCTCGGGATTTGAGGCTGTCCTACAACACCCACCATAAAACATATTCAAGAGAGGCCATTGTCCCTGTGAGGAACTTGCTCAAACACTGGTTGGAGGATGGAAAGGCAAAGTCAAAGTGGGTTTGCATCAGCCTCGAAACATAAAATCCTTCTTCAGTGAGACAAAATCTCTACTTTCACTCCTGTCCAAACATCCAACGGGTGGCTGCCAAGATTGCAGTGATGCATACGAGGACCATCCAAAAGGTCCTTGAAGCGCTGAGAGGCAGCAGAAATGGACTGGAAGAGGCAGCCAAGATGAAAAATAAATTCTCTCAAAAGCGGATTCTTGTTCAAAAATCCTTTGACACGCCCTTTAACCATCAATGTTTTGAGTTCCATGCAGGAACTCCTGGACCTGATTGTTGATGCAATGATTCACCTGAAACAGGCTTCCCCGAAAGCCATCCTCTCATGCCTATCACTTTCGACAGCAGAATCAATAAAAGTCACAGCAACTTTTCGCTGAATGGCACAAACCAAATCATTAGACTATATATATATATTTGGGATGCTACTATTATGTACATACATAGTATCAGTAATCTAAAGCCCATACAACACCTGCTTTTGGGGGAGAAACCCCAAAACCACCTGCTCGATCCTCCCTCCGATCTCGCCGTCTTCTATTTGAATGCGTTTTTCGATCGAGAAGTGCGCCGGATCTCCGGTCATCCAGGGCTCCACCAGGTCATCCACATGGGTAGCACACACCACCGTTGCTCCCGCGTTCCCGCCGGCCGCTTCGACAAGTTCCCGCTGGTGCGGATGCCTCGGTGGAAGCCCCGGGCGAAAGGTCGGAAGATGGGCCGAAAGCTTCGCAAAGCATACGGATGTGAGCTTGAAGGGCAAGTTTCTTGCGGTCTTTGTCACCACAGAAGTCACAGTTGCCAGAAGTCAGACCGCTCGTTGTCTTGCCCTGCTTGAAAAGGCTCGCTTCGGGTGCAGCCGCTTTCTTTCATGTGGAAATTCATGGTACAAAAAAAGGCACTTGAGCCTCTGGGCCAGCCTGACCTGATACATCATAATCCGCATTTGAGCCGCTTAATTACGGACCTCAAGTTACTCAAGTTGTTCTTATTCACATGGTGCATAAGCCAAATGTTTGCAGCGTAAGATTCAAGACGTGGTCCCGTTTGCAGCGCTGCAGGCGCAATATGCGCTTTGGAGGGACCTTCCAGATGTGACAGATCCACTCGCCCGCAAGATCTTGCCACAGGTGGAGTGATGAGGTTCTTTCGGCAAGGAACAAAAGACCAGATCCACAAGGAAAAAAAGTACACACCGGGGCCTCTTAAGGGGTGTCCAATTATATAGCTCCTTAGAGGTAAAGGGGTATCCATTAACATCATTAACCACCCCTTAGGGGGGCCCTGGTAGATTGAAAATTTAGCAACTGTATCTAAATCAAGCAGACCAGATCCCAAGGATGTCAATAGATGTCAGTCACTCTATGGGACAAACTCAAGTCTTGTGCCACTTACTGGTCAAGTCCTCCAGTTTCGGCGTTTGACTTCGGGACCCCTCTTTTTAGATAGAAAAGTAAATCCCTACTAAAAAGGTATTGGAAGCCGCTGCTATCTATTTTGGAATTAGCTATATGATTCTTCCATATGCCGCATGGAACCAGTCTTCCGCCGTGGGGACCGAGATCCCGGCAGAATTCCAAGCAGTTACAACTGAAATGATATAATACAGTAATCCAAGATCCAGCAGAATCCACCAGGGAAAGACAATCAATCCATTGTTTTATTTATTTTGCGCAGCAGTTGCATTCCAGTCCTAACGAGTCAAGTCATTCACACCTCCTGCTTCCTCATCAATCCTGATCCTTGCAAACATGTCTTGGCTGAGTAACATGTACGTAGACATGATCCGTTCAGCAATGGACGTAGACATAGAAAACCAGCAAAAGATGCGCCAAGATGCGCTGGTGCCGTACGAGATGCTTCAAGGACGCCTCACTGTTGAACATGGGATGACCTGCGCCGGCTGGGCCGACATCCCGGCGTGGGCGACCCAGCGAACCAAGCAGGAGAAAGATCCCTTGTTTTGCAGCTCAAAGGAAGCATCTTGTTACATGGAATTGTATAATATATATATAATATGAACCACCACCCCCCCAAAACAGCCAAACCAAACACACCAACACAAACAATAAATCATTTATAGAGAAACTCTGAAAGTGTGACTGACATCCAGGACAACCGAGACCTTAGGGCATGTCAAGTGTCATCGAACAGTTTCGCCCTTCGAATAAGAATCCAGCAATAAAAATATCCTTTACTTCAAAGAGAATACACATCGTGACATCATCAGTGGATCAAGTTAAGAACCTGAAAGCAGTTGATCAGTTATACAAAGACCCCAACTCAACAACTGATCTCTTTCATCTTACCATCATTCCCTGCTTCCTCGAACGTCCTGAACCTCCTTCCGCCACTGGTCGTCTAGCCACCCACATCCAAGAGATTCACGTCCGCACACGGGCTGGACAAAGCGCTGGACACCTGGGTCCAGGGGACGGAAAGAACCATGCGGACTGGAGCCAGGTGGTTTGCGGACTGGAGCCAGGTGGTTTCACGTCCTTCATGTCCTTCACTTGTCTCAAAGGTCCGAAGGCCCAAAGCCTTCCCGGCTGGGCCAAAGCGATGGAGCCGAAACATCCGACGAAGGTGAAGCAACATTCACCCAAATCCCGCGGCCCTGGCCACGGTTCCTCTGATTTTGAGAGATGCTCATGGCATCTCATGGCATCTCACGGCGTGAGCAGCACAGCGAAGGAAGGATCTGGCTTGAAATGGAGCACATGGTGGTTTCTCAGCTTGCTTTGCTTCTGCTCCTGAAGCAGTGTTTTTTTGTTTGAAGGTCGGGGACCAAAGGAAGTAAAACATGGAATCTGTGGACTCATCTCATGGTCATGGATGATATGGATTCAACACCTGAGGATTGATATGGATCGCGTGAACCAATTCCGGGTCAGCTCCTGGTTCCTTTAGACCGGGAGGCTGACCATGTAACATCTACCCCTGTGAGTCTCCAACATGGATGGGAAAACATGGACCCCTGTCCTGTTTTTTTGCACAAAAACCCTGAAGGGGGTTCCGCTGCTGTTTGTTGAGGTGAAACATTGTGGTCATTGGGAGCGATCCTGTCAAATTGTCAGAATAGCAAGAACGTCGCCAAACTCAGTGGTTTAGGGCTCTCATGCACATCAAGCCCAAGACGCATACAGGTCATGGTCATTTCGAAACCTGGGCAGCCCGCCGTTTCGGTTTCGAGCGTTGTTTTCTGGATCACGGCCATGGCGCGTTGATCTTGAGCGAGTTCCCAAATTGGATCTTTGGAAGACGTAAGAACCTTTTGGCCGTTTTGCATCACTTTTGGGGGTCTAAACTAGTCTAAACCAATGATGTGGCTCAAGGACATCAAGTACCTGGTGGTGAGCAGGCCATACCCTTGCAAAGTACGACGTACGAATTTGTAGTGAGCTTGGTGGTGTCTTGCTTCACAAAAATGTAATTTCTTGACATGTTGGTCCAGTTCAGTACTGTGGTACTAGCAGTACATGCCAGAACCGTATCACTGTATTTGGCCCCTGCATTCTTCACATTAAGACCCAAGACTCTTGAATTCCTCTTGTAGTCAAACCCTGTTAAGCGTGGCGTCTGGCAGGGCCAGAACGCTGCGCTGGAGAGGCGGTGGCCGATCCAATGGGCTTCATTGAAGACGGGTGGCTGAAGATAGGCTCACAGTTTGAGAATGAGATTGTGTTGTGAGTTACACTCCCTGGAACCAACATGGAAGTGGATGGCATAGCTCCTTGGAGGACAATTTTCCTCTACAAACAAGGGGTTTTCCACTTCCATCTTAATTCCAGGGTGAGTATTGTGGGTTTGGGTGAAGGGTCACGAATCAAAGCTTTGCCTACCTCAGGCATGACTGCGGATTCCCAAAGGAGGGGATGCGTTGAGGATAGGCATCGCTGCTGCTGTTATATACATTTCTGCAGCTACATGGTCTTTGGATCCAGAGAAAAGCCTGCATGATGAAAAAAACGTTCAACAAATTGCATAACATCCAAAGCCAATCAATCAAATCAATCAAATCATGTCTCAGCAAGACTGCTGTTCACGCCGTCTTGATCAACCTATAGTACGTTGATCCAAGCAATTCGTCACGGCGTGTACGGCGTGAAGGAACGGGTAAACGGTCGCGAAGGAACGCTCGCGTGGATTCTATGGGCCCCCCCCATGACCCGCAACGGGTGGTGTACTTCTCCCAGTATCAGATGAAGCAGACAGATTGACACAACTAAACTGGAAGAATTGAAACAGTTGGTGAAAAAAAACTGTTCTTGACCAACAGCATGCCAGTCTCAATCGGCAGAATGTTGACATGTCAACAAAAAGGACATATGATGACTCTCCCGCCGCCCATCTAAATCAGCGCTGGCATGCTTCTCCAAGATGCTCAGACGAACGGCCCCGGGCCGAGGGAGTCAACGTCATGGCGACAGCGGACGAATGTGGCGCCACATGGCGTGGCGAACCCGCTCAGAGGTCGACCGAATGGACACCGACACCGACATGGGTAGGTGCACAGGTTGGTCGCCTCCGACATGAGGTCACTGGAGTGTCTTGTCTTTGTGTCTTTGTTTGTCCGCCGTGAGCTACCAAAAGGTCCACTGGATCATCCACTTCCGAGGTCTTCAGGTCAGGCCGTGTCTGCCAGTCGGTCTCTGTTGGGTTTAAATGGTCGGGATCTCGGGGGCTGGGAGTCTCCACATCGGCCTTCCTCGCCCTCGTGTGGAAGGCATCAAGCCTGGGTTCGCCTGGTCTGTGGTGAAACACACTGTCTTCTGAAGTTCCTTGGGCAGGATAAGCACACGGACTCGAAAACATGCTTGAATCCAAGAGCTTCAGCACCAGGACCGAACATCTTCTTTGACTGTTGGGGTCATATTCAGTTTCGGGTTGCTTCCCAGTGCATGTTTCATAGCACTTCTGGCTCTTCCACCCAACTGAAAGTTATGCACCTTTGGGCAAAGCCTAGATTCTGACCAGCATGAGGCCAGGGTCGACTAATGGGCAGCAACACGTTGGGTATCACTGAAGGGAGACTTTAAGGACAAGTTGCTCGATACGCATTGACTTCCAGGAATGATGTTGTAGTGCAAAATTGTCAAACTATGAACTGTATGAACTTGTGCACACTGGTCTAGTCCACTTAGCCTTAAGGTACATGGCCACAGGTTGGGTATATCCCATTCCCATTAACAGTGGATGATAGTTAGTAAAGGCCCTTCTCCAAAATAGTGATAACACCTTTTTCCGACTGTTATAGGTAATGGGACACCCCCAAACGCCCCAAACATCCACAAAAAACGATTCCTTTTCAAAACCGATCGACCCGTCTACTTCTACGAGCGTCGTTTATGCCCTCGACTCCAAGGCCTCTTGGAGGGCCCTCGCACTGCGGCCCGTCCGTTTGGGCCGCAGGTTCTCTTTGTCCTTCGAGAGATTTGGGGCGGGGCGGGTGGCGGCGCCCAGTGGCTGTCTCGAAGTCAACAAGCGTCGAGTTTTTTTCAATCCAACACCTGGCCCCAGTGGTTGGCATTCAATAGCCTGTTTTGTGAAATACAGTCTCCTTTGAGCCACTCCTATCTCCAAGTAAATCTTTTGAAAGCGACGCCACCTTTTGTATGGCCCTAACAGTCAAAAAGAGGTCTTAGGGGATGCCTGGGTCCGGCCATGTTCCTTTCAGACCTGAAACTGCTGCTTCAACCAAATGAAGCAACGCACTTCTGCATCTTCTTACATCTTCTTACTTGCTTTTTTTAATCAAAAGTATAACGCGCACCACATCACACCACTGCACACCACTCATCAATCCACAAAGTCAGCGGCAAGAACCACGGAAGATATGGAAGGCATGGGACACCAAAACCTCTTCAATCCTCTTCAAAATCCTTCAATACCATTCAGTGTTGGCGGTCGATAAATCCATTTTCCCCCGTATGGAGATGTAAAACATTGTAAAACCACTCCGGTGGGAGTGAACCACTCTAATACACATGCAGTCAACATTCTGCAGCTTATATATATATATATAGCTCATTATAGCTCATATGATGCGCAACTGCTCCAGGCAAATGATTCCACTCGCCTCCTCCAATTGTGTAGGTTTGTCTCCAACAAGAGAATATTGTTATTAGCCAAGCTGACATCTAGACATCTGCTGACACCTGCTATTTCATGTGCAACCTGAAAGCTGACGGTGTGAGATCGCTTCAGACTTTCCAAGTTCCATTCCGTGTTGAATTCATAGCCCTTCATCCACCCGTGCGTAAGGCTACTTGATGGAGTCCACACCTCCGTCAGATATGACGCTTCTTGTTCAGTCTTCTCCCACCCTTGTCTCTGACCCAAGCGTGCTCGAAGGGCGTTCAAACGCCGCCCCATCCCAAAGACCTATAGGACTATAGGACAAACCCCACAACTGGCAGTCACCAATCTTGTCTCATCCCAGTTGATCCTCACCAATTTCACATTTCAGCCGTCCGTTGACACCCCTGACACCCAGTAAAAGCGCCTGCTCAAAGAGGGCCAGTTCCGGAATGTCACCGACCTATCACATGTACAAACACTGCATGCTTTGCCTTTGATGCGGCAAAACCCATCACAGTTGAGAGAAAACTGAAACGTCCCACAAATCTCATAAATACTTCAACTTCCACAGTTTGATTCCAAACCTATTGTAGCATGGTCCGGTCAGGAATCCGCGGTCATCTGACAAACCAGGCATCCAAACAATCAATCCAAATTTTGGCGGCCCCCTCCATATCAGTCTCTTCACCCAGAAAGGCTGTGGCTGCCAAGACAGGCCGCAATAAACATAATGCATTGGTAGTGACTGGATAAACTGATAAGCTGATAGTGGCGGGGCCTCCATCTTGGTAAGCAAGCGCCGTTGTGACGCTGAGCCAAACGCTGAGCCAAACGCCAAGCGCCGTTGGATAGCGATCTCGTGTCACGAAACATATTCTCGATTCCTTCTGTCAATTGTCAAGTTCTTTTCAGCCATCCACAACAAAGAGGTGATGTTGTTCCAAGCATCAACGACGACCATGCTTCCAACTTCAGGAATCTATTATTGGCAAAGGAGGACCCCCTTAAAAAAAGGTATGAAAGGCCTATTGTCCATGTTGGATTGCAAAGAGCGCAGCTGGCTGTGTCCTGCCCCCGTTCAGAAAAAAAGGTTTTCTCGTCGAGCTCTCGCTGCTTCGCTCGAGGCATCTTTCGGCTAAGCTGGTCCCTGCGAGACAAATCGAGGAGTGGAGCGGGCAAAGAAATGGAGCTTCAGTCGAGGCCACGGGTGAAGAAATCTGATATGTAGAACTCTAGATCTACTTTGTTCTATTCACCACTGAGTAATTACAAAAACTGCTGTATATAATATGTTATATATACACATTGCCATGTGTTCTTTCTGTTCAGAACATCATACAACCCTCACCCCCAGGGTTCGGAGCACTGAGCACTGTCATGGTCCCACTGGGACGGGGTCGCTTCACCGGCATCGACAGCTTGCCAAAAGAATGTTTGGTCTATTTGATCTTATTTTGGTACATCTGTCCATTTGTCCATTTCCATCTGTCCATTTTTTTGTCCATTTGTCCATGTTATCTTATTTTGTTGTTTTTTTTCCATCAGTCCACATTTTGGGACTCTCTGTTGATTGAACACATGGCAGCTTGCATCAACTCTGCTGCCGCCTATCAGCGGAGCTTCTCTCAGGAGCTTCTCTGCTGCGAAGCTCCGCTGGCCTCATCCCCAGACTTTAGGAGATCCAGCAGGCAGGCGTGGCGGTCTCCTGCAGTCCCGACCAGCTGAAGCAAGCAAGCAGTGCCAATGCCCTTCCAGAGTCTCAAACTTGGATTGTGGTAGCTGTTAACTGTACACTCACATCCCCTAGAGTATACGAACAAGCACTGGTCTATTTTACGGGCTTCTTCTACTTCACTCATCTGATCTGATTTGACCTCGCCATGGGCAATCCCATCCATTCTCTCTCTCATCCAAAAACTCCTCCTCATCTTTTTCTTCTGCATCTTCTCATGCTGTGCTGTGAGATTTGGCGGATCGAAGGCCTTGACACGAAAACAGAGCTGGCGCACGTGTCACGTGCGGAGGCACGACTCCGCAGCAAGGCAACTGGCTCCATGGGGATTGTTACATGTTCCGGCATGTCCACTTGTCCAAATCATTGTTTTACCGTTTTATCATGCTTTATCGCTACCGCAGCGGTTCAAGTTGTTGACAGGAGGGGACAAAGATGACTGCCCGCACAAGTCGAGCTCTCATCCCGCGTGCCCAGCGCACATGAGGATCCACCGCACCAGGGATGCGCCAAAGTGCGTTCTTCGCCTCAAAAAAGCTGCAAGTTGCTGAGCAACACGTTGGTGTCGGTGTTCCACACGGTGGACATATGTGGCCCCCATGGAGACACCGCTGTGACACGGCGTCATTGGTGAAAAACATGGACCACACCGAGTGTGCTGTTCTGTTAACTCCTGGGAACTGTTTCCTGCTTCTCTCTCCTGGGACCTGTTTCCTCTGACCATTCTTGGTTATCTTTCTCTGTGAGTGTGTGCGTGTGTGTCGGGGGGGATGAAAACCCTTTGTGATCTTTTCAATTTTCTCTGGCAAACTATTTTGTGTGACTCACGTGACATAAGAAGGCATCAGATTGAATCATTAATGAATCATTCAATAATATTCAATATGTTTAAAGAAACATACTTTATTGATCTGTACATACATGTTTCATCGATTTGCAACCCAGTTCAAACTCGGGACCACTAAACATCCAGTTGACCAAATCCAGTGTGACAATTGACCAAACTCATCCATTTTGGAGCTGCTCAGGCTGATGTCAGGACAAAACCACCGGATCCTTTGGGAAACCTGGTGGGACTTAGCCCTTTGCGAGGAAAAACACTGTTGATGTCATGTGTTCTTGTTCAGAGCATTTTGTTGGATTCTGTTGTCCTGTTTCTTTCGCTGCTGCTCGAGGAGGCTTGGTCCGGCAATTGTTGAGATATCCAGCTTTGGATGCAAAAACACCAAACAACATGTACCATGTTGACAACAGGCAAACATTGGCTAGAGTTGCAGTGGATCTTCCGATGATGTAGTAAAATAGCTTCTGAGACCGGGCGGGTTTGTCTTGCTCACACACCAGTCAGTTTGATGTCTAAAACAAAACACACACTTGAAAAGCACCCAGTCCATGAATATGGTTTGATAATAATCAATGACATATTCAATGCCAAAATAATACGACATCGACATTATTCTGTATACTGTATATTCCATATAATCTCAGGGCCTAAGCTTTTGCTAAAAGCAAATATAAGCTTTGGAGACTCGACATGTAAGCAAAGATCTTTGGACCGGGTGTCTACATCCCACAACAAAAAACACAACACTCAGCTCCCGTGATCTTC